CAATCTCCAGCATAATTTCTATCATCAAGGCCATATTTTCCAACTGCAGATTCTTCCTCTTTGTTTCCAATCTTTGTATTCCAATCACCATTACCTATCAATACATCTTGATTGCATGTCTGATCAATTTCATAATGAAGAATTTGGAAGAATTCTTCAATTTCATCATTACTGGCTTTAGTCATTGGTGCACAAATTTGAATAACAGTGATACTAACTAGTCTTTCTGGAATCCTGGTGTGGCACTGTGAGTTAATGGACAAGACTGCAAAGCCATTTGAACTGCAAGGTCAGTGGTTCAAGCTCACCAGCTGCTCCTTGGAAACCCTACACAGGGTCACTATGGGTTGGAATTGACTTAATGGCACTTAACAACAACAAAACTGGTCTTCCTGATATTTGTATGGATATCATCCTATCACAGACAGCATTGTTCTTCAAAATAGATCTTGGGAAATGTTCTTTTTGATGATAAATGCAATACCATTCCTCTTCAATTTGTCATTCCTGGCATAGTCAACAACATTATTGTCACATTCAAAATGGCCAATACCATTCAATTTCATCTCAAAAAATGCCTAGGATATTGATCTTTATGTGTTCCATTTCATTTTTGACAACTTTCAATTTTCCTAGATTCATACTTTTTCATTACAACTTCCCATTGTTAATGGATGTTTACAGTTGTTTCTTTTCTCCTCATTTTAAATTGTTCCCCATTAGGAAATGAAGGTTCTGAAAGCTTTATTCTATTTGTGTCATCACAGTCAACTCTACTGTGATGAGACAGCTCCTCCCCTGTCATATTTTGAGTGCCTTCTAACTGAGGGGCTCATTTTCTAGCACTATATCTGACAATACCGACTCGACACCTCTTTACAACAACATCTGACAGTGTTTCACTGCTATTCATAAAGGTTTTCAGTGGCTAAACATTCAGAAGTAGTCTACCTCTCCTTCTTCCTACTCTTAGTCTGGTAGGTCATCTGAAACCTGTCCACCATAGGTGACCCTGCTAGTATTTAAAATACCTGTGTTATAGCCTTCAGTGTCACAGCAATATGCAAGCCACCACAGTATGACAATCTGACAGACAAGTAGTGGTAGTGAGAGGGTAGAAACATGTCAGTTAATATTGGTGACAGGGCAAACAACATAGAACAAGACAGAGGTTGGCAGAAAAAAACATGAAGGTAATGGATGGAAGATACGGGGAGGAATGCAAGAGTTAAACTGAATAGAGGTAAATACTGCTAGCTGATAGTACATGGAGGGGATTGCAATCATTGTAATGAAGCAAAGTATATGATTTGTTGAATGTAGAACTGATGATCTGCTCTGTAAATCTTCGATCAATTCACAGTAAAAGTTGAAAAAAAAAGAGAGAGAATGTGAGATTTTCTGTAAGCATTTGTCAGCATGTTGTTGTTGTTGTTGTTAGGTGCCATCAAGTCGGTACCGACTCATAGCAATCCTATGCACAACAGAATAAAGCACTGCCCGATCCTGGGCCAACCTCACTACTGTTGCAAAACTTAGTCCATTGATGCTGCCACTTGACCAATCCATCTCGTTGGGGTCTTCTATTTTTCTCTGGACCTCTACCTTACCAAACATGATATTCTTCTCCAGCAACTGGTCCCTCCTGACAATATGGCCAAAGTATGAGAGACAAAATTTGGCCATCCTGGCTTCCAATGAGCACTCTGGCTACACTTCTTCCAAAACGGATCTATTGGTTCTTTTGGCAGCCCATGGCACGTTCAACATTCTCCTCCAACACCACATCTCAGAAGCATCAATTCTTCTACAGTCTTCCTTATTCACTGTCCAGCTTTCACATGCATATGAGGTTGTTGAAAATACCATGGCTTGGGTCAGCCGCACCTTACCTCAAGCTGAAATCTTTGCTATTCAGCACTTTAAAAAGGTCTTTTGCAGTAGATTTGCCTAATGTAATATGTCGTTTGATTTCTTGACTGCTGCTTCCGTGAGTGTTGATAGTTGTTGATCCAAGAAGAATGAAGTCCTTGACAACTTCAACCTTTTCTCCATTGATAAGAATGTTGTTTATTGGTCCAGTGGTGAAGAGTTTTGTTTTCTTGACATTGAGATGTAATCCATACCGAAGGCTGTGTTCTTTGATCTTCACCAGTAAATATTTTAAGTCCTCTCACTTTCAGCAAGCAAGGCTGTATCATCTGCATATTGCAGATTGTTAATGAGTCTTCCTCCAATCCTGATGCCACGTTTTTCTTCATAGAACACAGCTTCTCAGATTATTTGCTCAGCATACAGGTTGAATAAATATGGTGAAAGAGTACAACCTTGTCACACACCTTTTTCAATTTTAAACCATTGTGTTCCCATGTTCTGTTCGAACAACTGCCTCTTGATCCAGGTACAGATTCCTCATGAGTACATGTTATAGAATACTCATACTTCGCAATGTTGTCTATAGTCATGATCCACACAATCGAAAGCCTTTGCTTAGTCAATAAAGCATAGGTAAACATCTTTCTGATATTCTCTGCTTTTAGCCAAGATCCATCAGACACCAGTAATGATATCTCTTGTTCCACGGGCTCTTCTGAATCCGGCTTGAACCTCTGGAAGTTCTCGGTCAATGTATGCTTGCAGCTGTTTCTGTATTACATTTAGTAAAACTTTACTCACATGGTACACCAAAGAGACTGCCCGATGATGTCTGCATTCTGTTGGGTCACCTCTCTGGAATGGGCACAAATACTGATCTCTTCCAATCAGTTGGCCAGATAGGTGTCTATCTTTGCACATTTCATTGTAATATTTAGCTTTATCTTCTCAAGCTGATCTTTGAAATTTTCCAGAGCTGAACAGAACATTGTCAGCATGAGACTAAGCAAAAGCCACCAAAACTAGTACCAGATACCAGAAGATACTCCATTAGTAGAAAATGGAAGAGACTAAAACACACATACGCACATTGAACACTCTTAGTGAATTAAAGGGTAAAATGACTAACCTTGAAACCCATTTACAGAATGAGAAAAGAAGAGGGTAGCAGAACACAAAAACACAGTTTAGGGTAACGATGTGCAGCAAGGGCAGAAAACCTGGGAAGAGGGAAATAAACTGTGTCAGTCAACTTAGAAGCTGAGGTAGGTATGCTAGGAGGAATCATTGAGTGGCAGAGTGAAGGCTGGTGGGAGGAGAGAGGGAATTATGTGTAAGCAATGTGCCGAATATTGAGGATCGAGTCTGAGATATAGAATGGTGTGGGGAATCCCTCGGGGCAGTCAGAGCCTCAGCTCAGATCTTCAGCACACAGACTGCAGTAAATGTTCAGAATGAATCGCACTGAGTTTCAATTGAGGAGTTTGGCCAAGAAAAGGTCATCCTGACAAAAGAATCCATGTCTAGTTCCTCCATACTACCTATTCATAAACCATTACTACCCAAGTCTATCCACATTCCAAAGCTGCTTTTTGGTCCTTGGCTTCCCAAGTCCTATCAAAGAAAAACAATCATATGTATATGGAGGCCTGGTGTGATGCTATTGGTTAATGCACTGGAGGTTGGAACCTGACTCGACAGCACTTAACAACAACAACAACAATATATATATATTGCCAAAGTTCTGGCAATAGTGATTAAATAAGAATTTTGGATTTGCAATATTCTGGAAAATACACTGCATTGGGAAAGTTGTTTTTAATTCATAAATGTTAGTTGTTCTAACTACAAATTTTTAATATTATTAAGCAATTCATTTTATGACCTTTTTCATAGTTTAGTAAAATGTACACAATCTTAATGCAATCTAGTGAAACCTGTTTGTCCTGAATTAACAGTGATAAGAAGTACAGAAAGTATAAGTGTGAAGGCACTCGTATTAGATATTCCAAAAAGAATGCTCAGTCATACATAACTAGCACAGACATTAAGAATCATGCCACAGATGTGGAAAAAGGAAAAAGCCCACCTGTAATTAGCACACGTGGATGGTCTGTCTCAGAGCATGAGACAGAGTGAAAGTTGGCATCTGCTGTGACTTGCCGAGGGGAGAAGCCCAGAAACCTGATGGACACCACAGATGTCCGGCAGCCACTCGCTGGACTCAGTAGCATCCGGCCAGCTACCTGACTCAGCATCCCAGTAGCTGGCATTTTCTTTGAAATTCTCTGTAATGAAAAAGATCAGAGTGGAGTTGAAGTCATTGAGAGTGAAGCAACTAGAACAAAGATAATGAGAATGTTGACACAAAATGAAGAATGTAACCAATATCATTGATCATTATGTCTAGAAACAGGTGAGTGGAAGTGGGTTTGGCAGTGCATTTTCACCAAAAATAAAATACTATTTTTAAACAGTTGAAGTCCTATTTTTGGATCCAAGAACCAAAGTGAAGAGACTGCTGAGCATGTATGTCAATAGAAGGTTAGTTAAGTGCCTCCTAAGGGGTAAACATTTTATTTACATGAAGTCTATGCAACAAAGGCCAAACTAAAATTGCAGATTAAGTAATACTTGGCACTGTTAACCTTGTGCTAATACTCAGATTATTTCTGCAGTGAGCCATATTAGAAAAGCAAACTAAAAATGCCACCAGCAATAATAATAAGTGGTGAATAATTTTTATTTCACTGGAGTCTCTTTAGGAAAGATTCTGTAGTCAATGCCAATCCACTGTCTCATTTCCTCAAAGATTCTATATAATTTACATAAGCCTAGCTTCTCTTTTAGGTCCCTGGGTGGTACAAATAACTGCAAGTCTGGTGTGGCACTGTAGGATAGGAACTAGACTATAAGGTTGGTTTGAACTGCCACTTTGCCAACCCATCTCGCTGGGGTGGGGGGTGGGGGTGGGGTCTTCCTCTGTTTCTCTGACCCTCCACCCTACCAAACATGATATCCTTCTCCAGCGACTGCTCCCTCCTGACAATATGTCCAAAGTATGAGAGACGAAGTTTGGCCATCTTGGCCTCCAAGGAGCACTCACTCTGGCTGCACTTCTTCCAAATTGCTTCTCAGCCTTTTGGCTACGATCAAGTGTAGTATCTGTCCTTATCAGTTTAATATCTGATACATCCTTAAAGATTGTTGTTGTTATATGCCGTGGAGTCGGTTCCAACTCATAGAGACCCTGTATACAGGGTTTCTGAGGCTGTAAATCTTTATGAGAGCAGAAAGCCTCATCTTTCTCCTGCGGAACAGCTGGTAGTTTCAAACTGCTAACCTTAAGTTTCGTAGCCCGATTTGTAACCACTACGCTACCAGAACTCTTTTCCTTAAAGATTACAGCCAAGAAAATCCTAGTTTGGTTTGACTTTAGCTTCTCTTTGCTGTCAGCTTTATCACTAAAATTTATCACAAAATCAACTCCACCCTCCAGAGGTCAAGAAAGATCAATGACTTATGGCTAGAGACCAAACACACACACAGGGTTTAAGTTCTTCATTCTGCAAACAACACCCAGGCAAGCACCTCACAAAAGGTAAATCAGAGACACCCAGCTTTCTCTTCTGGGTCTATCCCAAACTTCCCACCCTTTAAAGACAGACCTATTGTACTCTTTATGCAGCAGTCATCCTTTCAAGCAAAACTAGTGTTTTATTTATAAAAAGTGCTCAGTTCAGCTCATAAATCAAACATTGACACAAGCACTCTACATGAAGACAACAATCATACTTCTTCATAAGGGTCACACTGCGGATTAACGCGCTAGATTACAAGGCTAGCTTGAACTGCAAGCCCACCAACTGCTCTTCTGAAACCCTGTCTAGAGTTGTGAGTCAAAACTGACTTGATGGCACTTAACAACAACCCATTCACCGGAACCAACTCCATAGCACATTTTCATTCATTCACCATGGAGTCCTGGTGTGGTGCTGTAGAATAAGCACTGGACTGCTAACCACAAGGTTGGTAGTTGAAACTCAACAGTTGCTCCTTGGAAACCCTATCCAAGCTATCAGTCAGAACTAACTTGGAGGCACTTAACAACCATCACAATTCATTTGCCACACAGCATACTACAATGTGCACTTATGGGTCAAGATTTCATAAATTAACCATCAAAAACCTTCTTAAACAGACAAAAAATCCGTTTTTTGGTTTCATGTTAGTTTGTTTCAACTGATAGCACCCCTGTATAGGGTTTCCAAGGAGCCGCTGGTGAGTTTGCAGTCCAGTGCATTATCCTCGAGCGCCACACTAGGCCCTCCACAATCATTATACTGGTGGTGGTTTTGTGCCATGGAGTCGGTTCTGACTTATAGCGACCCTGTACAGAGTTTCCAAGGCTGTAAATCTTTACGGGAGCAGAAAGCCTCATCTTTCTCCAGCAGAACAGCTGGTAGTTTCGAACTGCTGACCTTGAGGTTCGCAGCCCGATTCATAACCACTACACTACCAGAGCTTATACTAGCTCAGTCTTTATGCTTTTAGCTGAATTTTAAGTTCAACAAATTATTGTATCATTGCAAAGTACGATGCCATGATTTCTGTCCATGCATTTTCATCTGAACAAGGCTTTATTTTGTTTTCCTAGTCAATGCAGTTTGATAAAGTATCCTGTTAGATGCTTCAGTAGCTATTGTATTTTTAGTTTGCTTTTAAAGAGCTTACCGTATCTACATTTAAGACATTCATTTTTCCTGTAGAGGACTCTGAATGGTTGGTATCAAAATAATGTTGCAATGTTACCATAATAAGATTTTTAAAGGGTTCTATAACATAAGATTTGCATCTATAAAGTTGAGGGAAATTTTCATGTTTTTATTTCTTATTTTAGTTTTGCCCATTTCTTTGGAGTAAATTCCTCCCTTCTATGAGTCAAAGAACTCTAATATGTCATTTCACCATTTTTATCTAAAGACACAGCTAGTTGAGTTGGAGAAACAAGTCCTTTAATATATCCCTTTTAAGCCAATAATCTGTCCCTAAGTAGAATACATAAAAATTCATCTTTTTGCTATAGAATAAAACATTAAATTTTAAAATAATAAGTTTTTTAATACCACTTAAAATTTTAGAAAAGATATATATCAAGACAATACACACTTACGTTGTTGTTCCATGTAGGTACAACAGAAACGTTTAAAGTAAGGATTTATTAAAGAAAAATTAGATAACAGAAATGATGGCATGTACAACTGAAAGTCACTAGTAAATACATGGGAAGTGCTAACAACACACTGAAATTGCATATACTTATACCCTAACTCTATGACCTTAAAGGATTTTGTAAACATAAGAATACACATACATGCACACATTTCATCAGCCTTTAGATGGGATTTCTCACAAGTTACAGAGCCTCTGGAAAACTCCACTGTACACTTGTGAGGAAAAGTATGGAAAAGGCAAATAGCATGTTAGTATATTTTTAAAATCGTTTTGCGCTCATGAAAGAGTCTCAGGAGCCCCTAATCTCCCAGAATTCCCCAAACCATACTTTGAAAACAGATGTTCTATAGTAAAACTTGCTCTGTCAAGATACTTAATTTAATGTTAAAGGGAAACCATCAAAGAAGATTCTAGTCCCTGCTTATTAAGGATCAAATGATAGTCCAGGAGGCATTCTCTCCCTGTTCACTTTAATTGCAAGGGATGAAAAAGAAAGTGTTCAACAGACTCTCCTCCGTAAATGGAGCACGTCCCCAAGAGAAGTCTCTGTAGGGAAGTTATTATACAACTTCTTCCCATCTCCCAGCATATCTATTTTTCTGTACAAACAATAGCAGAAGAAAGCAGTAGCATTGGGAAGTGAGGGGATGTTGGAGATATAGATTCAGAGCTCTACTAACAAGTTTTGGTGATTGTTCGGCGATAGATGGCTTAGTGAAGGAGTGGAAGAGCTGAGTGAAGACTCTAATTTGTGATGCTGGATGAAAGAGTTTCTTGGAGAAGCGTGTCAAGTAAGAAGATGAGTGAATCTGATTTTGGACATGTTGATTTTAGATTCCAAGATACAATATGTCTGCCTTTCCTATAAAACTTTGTGCAATTCCTAGCAGTGCATGAAATATCATATCTGAGAGGCAGATTAGGAAAACTAAACAGACATTTGTCTATATCACAAAAAATAAAATGACTGTTTTCAGAAAAAATACTAACTTCAGTTTCTCAGGAAACAAACTAGAATTAAATTGTTCTGAAAGTAGATCATTCTGCTTCCGGAATACTAAAGGAACTACTTGAAATGTTAAAAGCCCTAAGGATGTGCCATCAGTTTCCCTTAATGATCCGGTTGTCACAAGACGTATCAAAATTTCTAGCTCTGATCATTTTAATTCATATTGTTGTTATTTAGCTGGCTTCAACTCATAGCAACCCTGTACAGGATTTCTGAGGTGAGACTGGTGAGTTTTAACTACAGACCTTGTGGCTAGCAGTCCAGGACATAGTAAGATGTTCTCAACACATTAAGTATGACACTAAAAGTACCCAATCCCAAAGAATGATAAGCACTGGACTGCTAACCACAAGGTTAACAGTTGAAACTCCTTGGAAACCGTATATAGGGTCACTGAGTTGGGGTTGACTCAGTGGCAATTAACAACACAAATAGAGTTGAGGAGCAAAAAAATTCACTCAGTAGAAACCCGACAATTAAATTAGTCCAGTTAAATTAGCAAATTAATTTAGACTAATTTTCATCTTGGCAAATCTATTAGATATATAAACAATTTAGGTAGACAAATTAGCCTACCAAATTCCAGTTCCATCCAAACTCCACTGGGTCTTTTCCTTTGGAAATCTGTATTTCCCTACTGCCTTCCTCATTCTAGTCTCAAGGGTCTCCAGCCACAAGAATCATGGGGTCATTTTGTATCATACCCTCTGACAATGTCAAAAGGTATAGTCTACACACCCCCACTGACACGACAGGGTCATGTGCTTTTCCTTGTGAAAAGCAGTACTGGGTGGCTGCTGGGAAGGTGCCTTCTGACAACCATTGGTACATATCCTCTTTAGCTTCTAGCCCCACTGTCACAGAGCCCACCCAGATTCATAACAACTGTGTTTGCTTTCTAAGGTTGTAAATCTTCATAGGAGCAGAAAGCTTCATCGCTTCAGTGGAAAGGCTGGTGGGTTAGAACTGCTGACCTTGCAGCTAGCAGTTCAGTTTTAGCCTGCAATACCACCAAGGTTCCTTATCGGC